TGTGAGTTAGATCTAATTATGAAGCTACACATATTTGTTGCAAATAAATATGCGCTAATAGACCCTCAACCTGGCAAATTCGCAAATTTATTTACCTATATATAATAAAAACTAGTACAACAGGTACAAGGGCATTGAATTAAATAATATTTGCGTAAAAATGTTTTTATTTTAAATCTATTAGTTATTTTGTTTTTATTAATTAAAAATATTTGCATACAAAAGTTTAAGTATACATACATTTTGTAGGGACTCAAAACTCTTAAATTGTTACTCTAATTTAATTGGAAAAATCAACAATATAATAAAAATAAAATTAAAAAAAAATGAGCATAAATTTAAGATGGCTTTATTTATTAATTTTTTATTTGAACAGATACAATTAGCAATCTAGTTTTAAAATTTTGATTTCTAAATGATGAACATTGTTATTGAAATAAAATAAATCAATCATACAATTTTGTATAATTAGATTTTTTATAATTTAATTAAATTATAAATGTGGTTCACTAAACTAATTGAAACAATTATGTGTGGCATTACCAAAATTTCGGTACGAATTATATAAATTCTTTCAGTTAGTTAAAAATCATTGCTGTTAAATTATAATTGATATAGTTCAAACCTCAAGAATGGAATATTGATAGGTTTCTTTCACCAATAAAAAAGTTGGAAACAATTAATAGTGATTGACATAATTAGGAAATAAGTTTCTCTGGTAGATTCCAACGGAGATTCCATCGAATATTCTAATAGTATAGTTTTCGTTGGAATGATTCCAATTAAAATTATTGCGTTAGAATAACTTTTTCATTGGAATTTTAGATGAAATTTGATGATTCCAACAGTTATCTTTACAACGATTTTTTACCGTTGGAATATGCAATTTTTGTTGGTATTTTTATTTTCACATCCGTTGAAAAACATACTGTTGAAATCGTCAAAATCTAACGGAAATTCTAACAAAAATATTCCTTTAGAATGAGTTTTCTATTGGAATTTCCGTTGGAATTCCATTAAAATATATCTGTATTACTGCGAGTGTTCACACTAGGGGCGGTACCGTAATTACTTGGTTTGTTGCGTTCACACTTAAAGAGTTGGTTAATTACGGTACCGCCCCTAGTGTGAACACTCTCCGTTGGAATTTTATCCTTTTGTTGTAGTGTTCATATACTACTTAATTGGAAGAATAGTCTAAAACAACCAATAATAATGAAAAAAACAAATCCAACCTTAAATGATTTTTAATACTAAATGTAGGAATATTAAAAAAAAAAAAATACTCGGTATCCACTAAGGCTATACAATGATTGATCGTTGATACTAAGGCTACCTAATCTTACATAGATAATACATCCTTTTTTTGATCGGACATAGATAATATCCTTAATACTAGTCATACATGTTCTTTTTTATCATAAAGTCATAAGCACTCAAACCTAATTATAATAAATTATCATAAAAGGCTCCGTGACTTTTTCTTTTGTCGGTTGATTTATTTGATCACTATTAATTTAACCGAAATAAACAAATCTTATTATGTCTAAGCATGTGAATCCCCCAGCGAAGTACAAGAATGAGAGTAGGTATAACATTAATAAATAAATAAATAAATAAATAAATAAAAGAAGAATGAGTAGGTTATTATGCTCAAATCCAAATCCTTTTCACATCTCATATTTAACTCGTTTTCTTCGTGTTACAACTCACTGCTTACAGCTCTAGTTTAGGTGTCATTGGCCGTGTCACCATAAAATCCAACGGCTCAAATCCCATTTTAAATGGTTACTTAATATTGAATGCTAAATTATTGAATTGTGTGATTAAATATAAAAATGAGCAAATTCTTTGAATCATACATACAACTCTATCACAAGATTTAATCATGGGCCCTAAGATGATCCAACTACAACCTAATTCTCATCTTTAAATGTGTAGAATTTAATTTGATCATAATTCCAACCCCTTTGTCCCATGTACATGATCCTCTCTCTCTGTTTTATTTAAATATAAATACAAAATCACAAAATCTAAATAAAATGCAAAATGAAAAATCAAGAAACTCGACCCATCTTGCAAAATCTAACATCTTTTGACATACTAGACAATTGTTGCTGTACGAATGCCACATGAATTGAACACAAATCTATATTTGAAAACGTTAAAAATTCTAGACACTAGTTTTGACTTTTCAATAGTCATATTCGTTTTAGTATATTCATAGTCTGNTATTCATAGTCAAATTTAAAGTTTTCCACCCAATAGTTACACGAAGCCATATTTTTTATTCACTTCAATTTCGTCCACAAAAATAGGAGTTATTCTAGATACTAAGTTGAAGTATATCTTTTTTGTTTATTTTGATGAAATTTTAGACCGCCCCTTGTTCCTGTTCACCGTCCCCAATTACGTGTTTCCCTTTAAGCACTCTCTCTACTCTCTCTCTCTACTCTTAAAGAGCAAAAATGTTCAAAAAGGCGGTGACTAGTAAGGGAGGCGGTGAATAATAATTCATTAGTTAAATCCCTTAAAATAGCGTTACTGTTGCTACAATCCATCAAAATTATACATCATTCATTACATTATACCAAGTCAATCTAAGATTCAAATGCAATTAAATAGTTCGATAGTAATTATTTTCAGGCCCGGCCCTGGCCTAGGGCGACCTGGGCAACGGCCCAGGGCCCAACTGAAGGAAGGGGCACCAAGCTATATGAGTTATGACATATGTATTTACTAAAGGCTCAATAGAAGTTACTGTAGGACTCCATAAAATTAATTTAATGGGCCGTTAAATTATAAGAAAAGGCACATAAATGGCACAGAAAAGGCACTCCTACAATTAAGGCTAAAGTACTTTACTTGCGGTCGTTTCCATATTGATGAGCTGTCAAACTTATTGGAACTTACCATCAATAAATTTTTAAAATTATATTTAACGAAACTTAATTAATTACCTACAAGTTATATAGAAGGAGAAGTCAAATCAAACCAATACACTTTTCTTTCTCTCATAATTCCATAAATTGTTCCAATTACTCATATTTAATTAAGGCATTTTTTTTTTTTGGATAAAAATTGAAACTGTAATGTAACTAGATAGAAAACTACTCAAATTACATGCTACAGGAATAAATAAATAAATTACATGCTATTCTACATGTATTAAACAATGAGAAATTATTAAGTTCATACACATAATATTTATGTATTATTTATTTAATTATAATTGTATAATAAATTATTGAATCAATGTACATTCATATATTTTTATTTTTCCTATTTGATTATTGTGTTGTGGTATTTTGAGATATTTGTAAGTATATATTTGGTTTATTTTGATTTATTATTTTCTAATTATTGTTTTACGATAATTGTTGAGCCCATAATGATCACACACACACATATATATTGTTTATTTTCTATTTAATTGTTGTTTATCGTTTTCTAGAGCTAATTCTTGTATATATACCTTTAGTTTTTTTTAATACAATTTATTTTTATGTATCGTGTTTTCAGTTTTGACACTAGGTTTGCACGTATATCATCGATTTACATTTTGTTTAGTTATTCCGTATTAAAATAGTGTATCATGTAAGGTTGAAACACTTGTATGGATTCATTAAAAGTAAGGTAGTAGAAGATTTTTCTTTTTCTTTCTATTTTTTCTTTTGTTATTGCTGTTAATGCTTTTGATAAGTCAGAAACAACGGTATGAAGCAATAATATCTGATGGTGATTCATACCCCTACAAAATGCATTTAAGTACCTTATTTATTTAATTAATAGGTAATGAATCAAATCTTAAAAGAATGTCAAAGAGACTATAACTAGAAAAATAAACCATGTCAATTCAACTAATACAAGAATCATCAATTAGGAATAAAAACAATAAATTCATATTCAAAATCAAGGTTATAAATGAAAATTTAATCGTGTTAATGAGAAAATGGAAACGAATTACAGTGAATCCACATAGCTTTTTTCCTTTGACATTTTCCTGCGGCTACATATTTGCGCTCTCTTCGCAATATTTTTTTATTTATTTTTTTTAAGCCTCCAAAATAAATTCATGATTGTTTTCCTCTGAAAGTGTAATTTTTATTGATGTAAATTCCCTCATTTTATAAGGAAAAAAATGTTGGTAATTATATTATTACATAGATTTCATCGTTTTGTTTTAGAATTAGCGAAATAATGGGACATCATTCAGTATTTGGCCCAGGACCCAATAATAGCCAAGACCGGCTCTGATTATTTTTACTAATATTCAAAATTTAAAATATAATATAATTAAATAATTTATAATTTTAATATTATATACATACATACCATTTATAATATTTTATTTTTATTTGTGCATTCACATACGATGGAATACTAGTAGTACATTTTGTGAGTATTCCATTTTACCCAAACACAAAAAAATAAATAAGAGGAATGTATATTTGAGCCCAATTAAGCAAAGTAATTAATCAGAATATATTAGTTATATATTATTTTTATTTATTATTAGTACTACACAAACAAATAAAAAATTCTCCATAAAAAAAAAGAAAAGAAAAGAAAAAAGGAACCGACAAAATATGAGCAAACAAACCGCGTCTTCAATAATTATTTACTGCTGTACCAAGCACAAGCTCTCTATATCCAAGCAAGAGAGACAAAAAAAAGAATAAAAAAAATAATAGAGTTTGAGAAAAATAAAAAGAATACATATGTAATTAAATAATTAATACTAGGGCAGGTAGGGCAAACCGGCAAAGACCGATTCCACTCAGCTCCTGCACCGAGTGATGGCGCTGCAGCTTCGGCGGTAGGGGTTGGCCTGCGCCCCCGGCCGGCAGTTGTAGTACGACGCGCCGCGCCGCGAGCAGGGGACGCTGTTCCTCTGCAGCGCGCCGTAGCTGATGTACCGCCTGCTGGTCAGGATGCGCCGAGTCGACTCCGATTCCAACGCGAACTCCTCGTCCTCGTCCTCGAGGCACTCGCCGACGGTTCCCCTGCAGCCGGATATCGCCGGCAACCCGACCGCCGCCTCGCGGTCGCCGCCGGCCGACGCCTGGGAGGCTAAAAGGGACGCGACCGCGACGAGACCCAGCAGAATTTTCCAAATTACGGCCATAGATCGGTAGGTCGAGCTGATTTCGAGATCCAAATTCTTCTGCTCCGGTGAAACTTTTCTCGCTTGTTGCTTATGTGCGTCTCTCTGTGTGTAAGAGCCTCTCTCTCTAGTCTTTTTGTGGGTGAATGTATGAGAGAGAAAAAGGGTAGCTGGTAACAAACACGCTAAACAGCAAATGCCAGTGGGGAATGTGACTGAATTTATTTGTGCGCGCGCGTGTATATGTGTGAAAGAAAGGTGTTTTAATAATTGAGGTGTTGACGCGTTTATTTATGGGAGTAAACACTACGGATATGCCATGCCACAGGAAAATTTGAAATTATAGCTTTTGTTTATAGCCGCCCATTTTTACTACTGCTTTCACATAATCAAATGACGTAGTAAAATGACAATAACAATAATTTGTATGTACATTGATTATTGATCTTGGAGGTGATATATAATACCCTATGTCAAAGTTTGTCATCTTTTATCTTTGTTGTAGCATGATCTTATTATTATGACACTTTTATTTTTTCATCAATTATTTTGTGAGATGACTAATTGTTAGGCCAATGGAATCATCATACTCTAAAGGTGCGTTTGGTAGGCATGATTAGGCTTGATATCCCACCATTTGTTAATATATCAAGTTGTTTATTTTGTTAGGCTGGCCTTTGTATAGCCCGTTAAATCCGTAAAAGCCCGATTGTTAGTCCCTTTTTTTTGTATTCCGTATCCAACCATTATGATGTGATGAGGTATCATTTATTATTAAATCAACAAAACACCTAAATTACCTATCTTCCCTCCTCCAATTTCTTCCTTAATTTCTTTCCATCTTCCCCGTTCATCCATCCCCTTTCTTCCCCACTCTCCACATTCTTTTCTAATTTTCTTCCCCTTTGTTCCCCAGTTTCCTTGCTCAATTTCATTCACCCTTTTTCCCCATTTTCTTCTCCGTCCAATTTCCTTCCCCAATTTCCCTTTATTCCCCAATTTCCTTCCCCTTTCTTTCCCAATTTTCACGAGACAATTGTCATGGCGCTGGTTCACTCACTCTTTACACTTCAAATCGACTTTGTTTATTTTTGCCATGGCGCGGGCACAACCTAGTTTTCCTCTTCTTGTCACATGCCAGGATCGAGGGCTCGAGCTCGATGTAGAATCTAGGACTTCTAAATTTCACCAGGAATATAGATATTTACGTGTTGGGAGTCAAATTTGATTGCTTCATGAACCAGGAATTTAATGATATTGTCGATAATCACGTTGGAATTTATGTCAAATTCATCGTATCTCAGTGAAGAAATATGATTTTGCAGTGGGTAAGATTTGAAAATTTAATTATCAATGAAAGCCAAAATAATAATTTCAACTTAAAAGTTACATTAATCAATAACCAAACAAACAAGTTAATGGTAAGTTGAATTGGTAGATAGCCTTTGATAATATCAAAGTGATTATATCAAGCCTAATAACCCCTGCCAACCAAACTCGCCCTAAATAAAAATGCATACTCAGTTGTACCTTTGTTTATATTATTCTTGTAAGTAGGGCTGTTCATTCGGTCAAAATCGAACTGAAATGACCGATATTTCGGTTTACCCAACCTTCAAACCGAAAACCGAAACAAAATTTATGGTTCGGTTCGATTTTTAACTGAAAAATTATTGGTTGGATCGGTTCGATTATCGGTTATCTGATAAAAGGGAGAAATGAAAAAAAAAAAATCATTAGTTACAATTTCAGTAAATCGCAGCTCTAGTTTCAACAAATCACAGCCATAATTAACAGAAAAAATAAAATAAAATAATCAAGAGGTAAACGATGAAAGAGAGAAAACGATTTCAGAGCATTAATTGGTTCAATCGACTGCAGCCCGTAGAATGGGATTTTGCTGGCAAACTTATTTGAGAAGACGAGTGTTGTCGAGTGCCGAGTGGAGTGTGTGCGGGAGAGGGAGCGGCGGTGATTTGGGATTTCAGAGTACCGAGCGGCGATTTGGGATTTCCGAGCACCGAGTGGCGATCGGAGAATTGGAGTGCGAGATTGCGTGCGGCGGAGATGATGTTAGGGTTTAGTAGTTTCCAACTTTTCGTTTAGGACTTTGGATTTGTGGTTTAGATTTTGGAGAAGGAAGATGACATACTTTGGAGCAGGAAGTTGACAGATGAGCCGATGAGCAGAGCAAAAATAAATGGGCTTATATATTAATAATTGGTAATTTAGGGAAGAGTTGGGTTGGGCTTGCTTGTGCCTCTCTTTATTTCAATACATTTTAAGATAATGGGCCTAGAATGTAACAACATGGACTTGGGTAATAAGTGGCTTTTATAACTTATTTGGATAGTATTGGTTTTCGGTTCGGTTAACCGAACATTTATATCAAAACCAAACTGAAAACTGAAATTTTAAAAAATTAAAAACCAAAAACCGAATCAAAAATTCAGTTTCGATTTCGGTAGGTTAACCAAATTTTGTGCACCCCTAACTACTTGTAAGTATGATTCTTTTCTAATTAAAATATGCATATTAAAAAGTTGTCATCTTATTGTTAGGCGGGGTGACCAACTCGTAGGATGTTGAGATTGTTGAAAATTTGATGATTAAGCCTTATTTAGAGGTCTAACCCGTTAGATATACTAACTTGTTTGGGAAAGAACTTAATTTTTTAGTGTTTTGGTTGAAAACGCTATTTTTTTTTAAAAAAAAAACACAATATATAAGTATTGTCAAATTCATTAACTAACTTGTTGGGGAAATAACTTAATTTTTTTTAGTGTTTTGGTCCAAAACACTAATTTTTAAAAAATGTTCAATATATGAGCATTTTGAGGAGATAATTTGCATAATAACATGTCAACATAAAAATTTTAAATTATTATGCACATCGCTGACAGGGATCTACCAAAACAACTCTGATTTTTCGGTCACCGGTCCTTTTCAGATCTCCGGATTAGTAAATCTGATATCTCGACCATCGGAGTGAAGTTGGTAATCTGCAAAACAAGGGCTCGAGAAGTGTTCCCGACGTGAGCACTCTGTTGATCAAGTTAGTATTGAAATATGGATAGTTGATAGGTATAATTTATGGAAGAAGAGAGAAGAGTTTCTAATCATACCTTACCCGACCTTTTTATATCATAATTATCTTGGTGTACAATTAACTATGTGTCTTGGTGCCCAAGAACTCTTACTGTCCAAGGGTAACCTGAGGTATGTCTATAAATGTTTGCAGGTCTCCCAGATTGTCTTTAACTAAACTGTGCTTTATTACTAATCCAGATCTCCAAGTCTTACCGATAGAGCTTTTAGGTGATCGACATGTCCATTGATCAAGCTGTTTAGCCCGGTCGCCTTCACTTCAACATGCTCTACATGATCGAGCTATAATACTCTGAAATGCTCAACCTTGGACAACGACCCTAAATAGCCCGACCTAAACCATAGATTTTTTGTAACTCGATTACCTTTGAGCTAGAGAACCGATCGGGCCATGCTAGCCATATCTCTGGCTATATCATCTAATCCCCAACTTTAGATGAGCTTGTTGAGCTAAGACTTGTCCGCCTTTCAAAAATTATGACTGGAAAGACAGATTTTGAAAACTAGCCTTTCAACCGGCTTTCTTTGATTCACGAGAGTGCTGGCTGTGAAAGACTGGAGGCACTAAGCTCTTCAGTCGGTCCAAGCCGAAATCTCGTAGTGTAAAAGCTTTCTCAGTGCATCCAAGGGTAGACCCCCTTTTGAATGAATCCGGTGATAGTCCTTCCTTGGCTTCTACTTGAGCGTAGCTACCTGAGAGTATGAAAGGGATGCCCTGTAAGCGTGATCTTTTGGTCGGCTAAGCTTACTAATAGTGGTTCCGACCGGTGAGAGGTCCTTCATCTCTGTGATATACGCGATCGAGGGATCGGAAGAGTCGACAAGGTTATGAGAGTTGTTGTTAAAAAGCAGGGGTTCCAGTTCAGATCAATCTGCTTAGCCTTAAGAAGATGGGACTTGCCATAAGTCAGAGTAACCAACTCTAGCCCCTGCCTTAGTCCTTGTAGCTCTGCCACTGTATTCGAACCCCAGATGGAGCATAACGTTATCCACGTACTATTTGATGAAGATTTATACCACTTCTTTTTCTTTTCTTTTGTATCCGGGCTTGCTTTCGTGCCTAACAGCTCATCTTGCTACTCCATGAGATCCGGTTCGAACTCAAGAATGCCGAATGCAGGAATGGTGATGTCTCGTCCTGACATGGCTCCTGGATCCGGCCAAACACCGGGCAGTAATCATTCCCAACGAAACTACACAGGCAAATTTTTTAAAATATATATTTTTTTCTTATATATTATTTTATAAATAAAAAATAAGTTAATAAAAAAGCCATGTATAATAACTTAAACTAGTATAGAGCCCGTGCGATGCACGCGGTGCACAATTTTAAGGCTATTTATCCAGGCTTATAATTATATACATGAATAAAGAAAAATGTAGATATATATAGAACGTGACTCGTGCAAAGCACGAGATATATTTATTTGGAGAATATTATATTATAAGATGCAATATTCAATAAAAGCTTATAATACGCAAGAAAATTGTACAATGTTCAATAAAAGTTTTATAATATTCAAGGGGAGTCTTAAAGTCTTCTTGTACATTAAGACTACTGACAAAATAATATTTTAATCAATGAGTTTCCTTTTCTTGTAGTCAAATTGTGAATGTGATTTGAGGAGTACAACAAATCGATATATAGCTGACTTGCTTTTTTAATTGTAGTCTTTTTTCTTTTTTTTTTATAATGAATTTAAAGATATTCTAAAATATAGCAAAAATTAATTTTTTTATTACAATTAGGAATTTTACTAAATATAAACTCTCAATCTATGGTGTTAATCAACGTTTAAGTCTAAAAAATTAAGAATTTTTACCTCTTTTAATCAACGTTTAAGTCTAAAAAACAATAGAGTTATTATAAGTTTTTTTTTTCTACATCTTTTAAAACATTAAATATGAGCATGTTAGGGCTAGCTTGTAAAATAATTAATATATTATCTCACTAAAACATTTATACTAATAAAAATTTAATTTTCCTGATTGTATAGGGGTCGTTTTCAGGCAAGGTCGTCCATCTTTTTCTTTAATTAGGTAGTTCTCCCGACCGTAAGACCCTTTATGAGATGAGTAAGGGTAATCGAAGGCCGGTTTATTGGCGATCCATCTTTCTCGCCCCATTTCCCTTTGAAGGAGGTGTAAGATAAGTCTCAATTCACGGACAGTTCCCTATCTTGCCCTAGGCCTATGCCTTCCTTTGTGACGCGGGAGAACAAACCATTCGTTGTCATTCCCCAGATACAAGAATCCCCAAGCACAGAGGGTAGAACGTCTTTCCTTCTTCGTAGGTGATGTGATCATATTACTAGTCTACCAATCCGCTCGGTCAATAACAATTCTTTTCCAAAAAGCCAACTCGACTGATCGCTTTGTCAGGAGTCGTCCGCTAACATGGAGGGATCGTAACTGTCTCGGTGCCACGCTGGCCGAGCTGTTTGCCTTTCCACGTGCATTCTTATTGACTCTTGCAGTCGAATCCCACAATTTCCCGACATTCGCTTGGATGTGACGTCTGTAGTTTGCATGCACCTTCTAGAATGCACCACTCACAGCTCGCACTTAGAAGCAGACCTTTCCAAGTCCGACCTCAATTGACCACTAATGCGTAAGGGCATCGCGTAACCCCATACCTTATCCGTCATCTAGAACACATGCGTGCAAGGCATTGCACAACTTCACACCATAAACATATATGGGTCATGTATACAAGGCCTTACACATCCCTACGACATAACCGTCGTCCAACCAAGTCCTCAACTTTACCCGATCCCACCATCGGGTTAGATCCAACTCTCACCTCCAATTCAAACTGACAAGATATTCATCAAGATCCCACACTAGCCCTCAAACCATCCCCAACGTGCATGGCACATGGTTAGGCCCAACACTAATTTTCCGTGACAGCGCGACTTCCTCGTCAAGTTAGCCCGAAACCTCCTAAACTTGGAAGCACTCTATACCTACTTGGCACCCCCCGTTCCGCACCTACTTGTACCTGGATGTGCTAAGGGATCACGCTCCCATCAAACACTCGGGGGACCGCCCTACCTAAGCCCAAGCTTGAGTCTTTTTGCAATGAAGACGCCCTAAATGATAATTCAAAGCTATACTCACAAGATCTGAGCCCGAGCTAGAGATCGCTCACAACAACGACAATTGTTTAAAAAATAAACCCGAGTTGAGATTCGAGCTCAAGGTTGCTCGCAACAAGGATTGCCCCCACCTCTAGAAAATTGAGGTCGATCGTACTTAGGCTCAAAGACTATCCACCTAGCCCTTAAGGCTTTATGTTGATCACAACAAGATCAAAGTCCACTCACCCGACCAAGCCGTTTAGACTTTAGGCCAACTGTAGCAAGATCAACGTTCACTCACCCGACTTAACCCTAAGGCTTCTTGTTGGTCGCAGTGAGATCAAAGTCCAAATTACCCAACCTAGCCCTCAAGGCTTCTGTCTGATCACAGTGAGGATAAGGAGTGTCCTGCCCAACCTAGCCCTTGAGGCTTATGGCGGATCGCAACAAACTTCAAGTCTACTCGCCCGACCTAGCCCTTAAGGCCTTTGGTCGATCACAAATACCTTCAAGCCTACTTGCCCAAACTAGCCCTTGAGCTTCTAGTCGACCACAACGAAATTCAAGTCCACTCGCCTAAGATACACGACTGATCCTCTCAATGAAAGCACCAATGATGAAGATCACGTATCTTGAATCCTTGGATTACCTCGAGACCAACGTCGACGCCTTGATTTCTAAGGGATAGGTTGCTAATATGCGCGTCAACGCCTTCGTACTTCGCGATGGTTGTGATGAAACTCGGATGTTGGTCCTATTTCTATCACAGTTCTGTGTAAACAACGGTTCGGAAGCCTTTCGTTAAACACGAGAGATTGGTGATTGAATCGATTGATTTTCTAATTTCTTCTAACTTGACAAATATATGAAAAACAAGAATAAGGGACAAGTATTTAAAGGACCAGACTATTACTAAACTCACGTAGAGAACTAATCCTAAGAGAAATACAACTCTAACTTAAGGAAACTAATTATCTTATGCCACGTTATATAAGAAATCCCATCATAAATGAACTCTTAAATATTCTAGGAAAATCAAGAAATAAACTCCTAATTAATAACTAAATAAGTCGGCCAAGTCTTCTAAAATTAGCCACGACCTTCAAGATGGTTGCCTTCTTGATTCGCAAGTCACCCGACCGAGTGAGCCACGCACGCGTCCATCAGGTCCTAGGTCTCGCCGGTACTCTCCTGTGAGCATGTGCGCCTCCCTATGCGTGCGTGCTGTCAAGGCGCCCGCTAGTCTCGGCCTGCTACTCTCGCGCAGTCATTGTCCGCGCATTCGTCCAGCCTCCCGAAGTTCTCGGTCCTTAGCGCAACGCTCGTGCTTCCTCGCGAGACCCGTGTCTTCCTAGCTCGTGCTTCACCTTTTTAATATGGTCTTATTGTAATTAAACAGACATTAAGAAAGCTAAAGACGTTCGAAAAATGTTAAGTTAAAGACAAATATGGGATTGCACAGAGTTGATGGTATCCACCCTTTTGTCTGGGATTCAGTTATCACTTGAGAAAAGGATTAGAGGTGTTTTAATTCGAGCCACAACCAATCCACTGAACTTCAATCAAGCGAACGAAACAAATGATTAAGCAGGATATCCTGGATAATCCTGCAAAGCAAACAAGGGCAAATGGGATATCTAATAGAGATAATTTGACTTTTCCGCACGCTGACTCACACCGGTGGCACCGTGGCCAGTATTCTGTCCGCCATTTATCAGTCAACTCCAAAAACTCTATATTCTCTTTCGGTCTACCGCCCTTTTCAGCGCCTAAAAAGAAGCTGCCCTATTCCTTCACCAGGTAACTTGAATTGCTCACAGTTTCACAAGTTTTCTTTCTGAATCTGCCGAGTATATGGATTATCAGCCATGGCCGTGGCTAATTAATTCTCTATGCAAAGCTCAAGCGATCACTACTTAGTACAGGCCACAGGGACAAGGTTTTGCAGATATACCAATCAGCTTGGTGAAGCAATAAATGGGCGCACCTGATGTGGCCGAGTTGAATTTCACTGATTCCGAGTTCGCTCATCATGTTAGAACTGCTCTTAGAGCTGCTGTTAAGGTATTTTAGTTTCTGAAACTTTTGGGTTCGTCCAACTTATTTAGGTAGATGGTAAACATGGATTGTGGGCAGTGATGGCTGTTTCCTTGTTACCGTTTGTAGGGTGACTGCGACTTTTATAACCAGCTTGTAGCTGTGATACACCATAAAGAACGTCTGGCTGCCGAGGAGGTGGACTTTCTTGTGGTATGTCTCTGATTTCTTCTTAGCCACTCATTTGTTTGAATCCCAGCCTATAAGTTGTGTCTCTTTTAACTGTGTGGTGACGTGGCAGATGTGTCTGAAAGCGGTCACAGGATCAGTCTTGTGTATAGACATTGTTCATCATCAGACACTCCTTGCTGCAGTGAGTTGTTTCACAGCCGTTTGAATTCTGGAGTTGAGTTTCGTGTGAAATTTGTATCTTCAACTAATTTTTTTTTTTGGCTATGCAGATATTTGGAATGAGTCTGTGGAACTACGGGACTGATGTGATGGATGCTCTGGTTGAATTGCTGGTTTCCTTGGTACTTATAGTAACATCTTATGATATTTATTATCTGCGTGTTGTTGTATTTTTTAGTTAAGTTTGCTTTTTTCTTTTATTTTTTTAAATATATAATTATATGTGTTTTTGTGTATGAATCATTGCTTTTAGGCCTCATCAAGTGGTGAATATGTTGATTTGTGCTTGGATATGCTTGTTGTGAATTTTGTGCCCCCATTCACTTCTCCTTCAGCTACGTACTTTCTGGAACTATTGAAGCAACCTCATGGCCTTGCTAAGAAGACTCAAGTTCTTCACCGAGTCCACTCAACTTTGAAAGATATTGCAAATGTAGTCCCTCTTTCACCTGTGAGACTGGACAAGATAGTGAGGGATAGAATGCCAAACATATATGCCAAAGAACCAGTAAGAATCATAACTGCATTCATTTTGGTTATTTCTGTATTTTATGCATGCTTTCTATTGCTTTTAAATGAATCGAGTGTGAAAAGATCGAAATTATTAGACGAGTTTGAGCTATAATTCTACCATTGTACCTTTTCACCAATCTACTTGGTTAGTACACCAACATTTCTCTGCAGTATTCTTCCACTTTACATTTTTCTTGCCATAATTGTTCTTCCAATCAGATGAATCTGCTCGAAAATAGCCTTCGTCAGATTGCACTTGATTGCAACATGTTATTTTATTAGTTACAGTACTATAGCTGAACGAAACAAGGTTGCCTTCTATTTTTGCTTCCTTTTTTACCTTGAACATCCCTCTTTGGAATTGACTGATGATACTGTTGTGGAAATAGCTCAACCGGTCACTTTGGTTATATGGTTCATATCTGCAACTATATTGATAAGGCATAAATTTTCTCACTCCTTGTGTCTGGTGCACCTTTTCTGCACTGTGTTCCTTTAGCCTTTAAATCTCGGGTTGAGAGGCCCAATGGTGGACTTGATTCTTGTGAAGGATATCAGAATATTTGAACACTTGTTAGAATATTTCTTGAAGGCAATAATCCTATGCAGAAATCCTCGATGCACTTGGTAAACTTGGACATCAATCAATGATGTTTCGTCCTTCCTAATTAAGCATGCCTGGTAAGATACGACAATCAACTTTTCAGCTAGGTGCAAAAGAACTTCAACTGTAACGTGGGATAACATGAATAATGTTTAATAAGATTTGCATTTCCAATCTGTGTCTGATTTCGTTCCAATTTCCTATGCAGCACATTGTGATGTATGTAGAGAATATGCTGAGGTTAGAGGGTGGTGTGATGGGTGAACTTGTTGGAAGCACAATTCTCGTTGTATTAGTGGATAGACTGATTGAGTTAGATGTAAGTTTACTTACAGAGTCAAAGTCAGTAGTTGAAGAGGCACACCAGTGATTTGAGTCTTTCCTTTTGCCATTTTTTTTTTCTTTTTTAATTTTGGTTTTCGTGTGTGTTTTGACCTGCAGGTGGAAATAGCATGGGATGATATTTTGCAGGATGATTTCCAAAAGGGTATTTTTGATATGGAACTTGAGGACCTCGATGGGCATGCAGACGGTATCGAACGTGACTCTAATGAGGTGCTTTGCATTCTTTGCTGTTAATCTAGAAGCATTTATTTTTAGTTGAGAGAAGATAGATGTCATAAAATAGTTATCAAAGATTGGTACTTGTGCCATGCTTTGGAGATATATGGTTTATTGCCAAGGTGTTGCCTAAACAGCATATTTTGAGAGAAGATAGATGCCTGCTAACTGCGATGTTTTCCTGTTGGCATTATTGACTATTTGACTCGATTTTGTTATTTGATTATTCAAATTCTTGTTTGACATACTTTTTTCGATATTTATATGATCTGTTGTTATTTCTTGTAGTTGATCTTTGGAAGAAGTAGAAGCATATAACTAGTTTTTGCCTTGCATGGCCAGTTCATTACTCTTTATCGTCTTGGCTGTCAGGCACTATGTCATGACTATCTTTCTTGGGTTTTCTTGCAAAATATGTGATATTATAATTTAGTCGCCAGAGCTTGTTTTCACCTTGTTTAAACTGAGGAAGTTATGCAATCCCAGAAACTTGTTTTCATCTCATTGTTATTACTTGTTTTGGGTGTTTGCTAGAGGAGGTTTTCATATGGTTCATATGTCAATGTGTTACAAACTGCATTAAGGCATTGATTGGTACTTGGGAGTGTACTTAGATGCTGCTGCTCCCTGGGGGTGTCAAACTCCTTTTTTTGATAAAGCATGAAGTTTTTGCAATTAGGGAGTTGTGACTTGAGTTATGAAGCATTAAGTAATGGTGAATAAGTCCAGTTGAAGGTTGTAAGAAGCTCGAATTACTTTGGTTGGGTATTTTTAAAGTAATCGTTAGGGAGTTTGTTAATGAACTTATGCACTGTAGATAGTCAACTTTGGACCAATAAATGAGTCAATTCAGCCCGTCCTATCCGATTAGATTGTAGCTGATTATCTTCCTAGCATGCTAGTTATGTCTATAAATTGGACTTGTGAGATGAGATTAATTCTGTTGTTAAATTTCAGTGTAGGTAGAACAAGCAATGTGTTACCTAATGACTATAATTATTTACACAAACACTGATATTTATTTTACGTTGGGATTCTTAAGAGTTTCCCGGGCTTATGTTTATGATACAACGTTGATTGCAATTTGCAAGAGAGTCGGATCTTTAGAACATTGTGTTAGGACATTGACCAATTCAAGTAGTGATTCTGGATTGATTTACGCTGTTACTTTCTTTCTTGTCTCTTTGCCTTTTGAATTTTAAATTGCACTAATGATGCCTTCTTGTCTGATACCTAACTTATGTTTCCAGCTTACTAGGGAAGCCCTGATACAAAGGTTCTTCAGTGGAAACTTAGTTGCTGAAAAGTTAGATAGCCTGATGGTAATCACATTTGAACACATTAAATCTTGTTTTGAGAGTGGACGTCTAGTTCAGGTAATTCTCTAATTGTACTTCTCTGTCTGACATGATGATGTCATGATTTCTTACTTCACTTTGTATAATGATGATTCAGGTGTTCGAGATCCTTCTCCAATCGTTTCAGAAAACAGTTTTGACTGCATATAAAGCAAAATTTACCCAGGTATTTATGATGTCTATTCTTCCCCCCCCGGATATCCAAAGTCGCCTAAGCAATTGATTTCTAGTTTTCTTTCTTTCATGTTGGGCAAACTCCTTGCATGGCCTCATGCATAATACTGTTATTGTATTCTATCCGCAGTCTTTGAATTACATTTGCTATGTTTGCATTGTAGTTTGTCATGTTTTATGCTTGCTCCTTGGATCCTGAAAATTGTGGAAAGATGTTCCCTAACGTGCTTCTAAATATCTTCCTGAGCAGTCCCAATCCTGAGTGGAGGTAAGGATAATATTTGTTTCTTCCTCATGCACCATTAATTTCTAATCTCGTGTTAAGAACTTGTGTTTATCTTTTGATCTGTTCATTTTCTTCCTATAAATGTAATTGTACGTTTTTATGTGTATGAGATGCACAATTACAATTACCTTAATTGACAGTTGTGACAATAATGATACTAAATTGACTGGTGCATGACAAACATTTATATGTGTTCAATAGCATTATCTGTGACATAAATTTGGTATTAGAATAAATGCTTTGGCAATTCCCAATATGTTGAATTTGTTTGTTTTCTCTATAATGTTAATCATATTTGTGCTCTAATCTTCTATTAGAAAAACAATTTAATATTTGGGTTAATTGCATTTTAACACATGTTTTTGACTTTTATAATTTAATTAGGAACTTTCTTTCGCTGCAATGTCATGCATGAAGTATTAAAATATTGCATTTCAATGCACTGCGGCAGTTCAAGGGACTGGAATCATGATTTGAAGGTGTTGTAACTTTTCAAAGATGTATAATAGTTAGTAATTTTCTTTTTTGTTTTTCTATTGCAGAATGGGTGCCGTTGCATATCTTGCTAGTTATTTGGCTCGTGCTAAATTTGTGCCTCTATCATTTGTCGTGGACATGCTGGAAAGGTGGGATCTCAAATATTTTCTCCTATATATAATTCCCGAATGTGCTAAGCCAAAGTGGCAAGCTCGCACGCTTCAGAATCTTATGTGCGAGCATTTCATGCTTCGTAACTGGGTTTGGAAAAACATTAAGTTTTTAAAGAAACCAAATAATCATTTTAATGGATTTATTTTGGAGAAAATGTAGAAATTAAGTATTAAATAAAATAAATATTAAGAATAATTCTAAACTATTATTTCTCGACTTAAATAAAGTACATTAAGAATTGAATGTTATTTATCTGTTCAAAACAATAAAAATATGAATTATGGTACTCGTTTTTTTTATTGGACAAATATTAATATTTTTAAGTACCCGTGTAGTACATGGGGTATTACATGGGTATTGTACTAGTGCTTTATTTCTTCCTCAAAGGAAAAAAAAAAAACCAAGAATAAATTTAACTAATTTCCATGTTATTTTGCTAAATTTTCAGTGTGGTGAACTGGTGTTTTCTTTATTGCAAAAATCAGGAAGGTGACATAAATCCAAAAGCTCATAAAGTATTTTATGCTGGGTGCCAGGTAAATGATGGGTAGCTAAGTTCCTTCCTAAGTATCTCAAGGTTTTCGTTAAGATCCTATTCCTCGTATATTTGTTTCTTTTAGTTAACAAACATTATGAGTTGAAATTAAAGTTTCCCATTACAAAGTCATTCATATGAACCAATCCTAAAAAATGTTATGTTTCCAAGGTCTTCATAAAGAATCCGAAATAACAGAATCCTTTTTCCGTCTGATCTGCTCATATTTGTTAATGTTAAAATCGAAAATAAAGAAAGCTGTCAAACTGAAATTGATTCTAGTACAATAAGAGTCTTAAACTGAAAATGATTTGACTTAACATCTGCCATTAGTAATTCTCAGAATGCTTGTTAACCTTTGTGTAGGCGATTATGTATGTTCTTTGTTTTCGAATGAAACAAATTGTTTCGGTACCACGCCTCAAGTCCCAGCTACTGCTCATGCGTATTGAGGAAGTCCTTGGACACCCCTTAAGATCACTGCAGGTGTAAAACTGTATTGGACTTTTCCATTGCTTTTTTTTATTTTTTATATGTGTGCTTACAGTTTCGATTGGATAGTAATTGCGTTTGAGAGTTCTAGAAAACTCACTTTCCTGTTCTATTACTTATTCGTGACTCACATTGTAGATCTGGTCTAATGTTACATGTGTTGCCTGTGTAGGTGTGCTTGCCATCAATAGTAGAAGAATTTCTTTGGCTGGTGAAGGTAAATGGTGTATTTTCTCTGCCTCAAAGTTCGGTTAAATTCGGTGTCTTGGAATCAGAACATTCAATGGCATTTGGCGGGTTAAAAAGATTTGATATGTTCTTCCCATTTGATCCCTGCCTAGTAAGGAAATGCGACAGGTTTGTTTTTCGTTCGTTCCATTTGGTTCTCATTCTCACGCCTTAGGAAATAGCTGAATATCATTGCATGAATATATGCTTTGGAAGGAACATTTCCTTTTTTTTTTTTCTTTCTTTCGTATTACTTGTATTTTTGACTTGGGGCCCCCTTTTTTTTCCATATTTGAAGATATATCCGGCCAAATTACGTCTATTGGTCAATGGTAAGAAGTAGTTATGATGAAGATGATGGCGAATGTACGAGCGATGAAGATGAGCCCTATGCAGAAAGAGATGGGATGAGTATTCCAGATGATGGGAGGAGAAGTTATGATGAGGAAAATTCTGATGCTGACGAATTTGAATATTCTCTGGACAAAATGTCCATTACGCCTAGAGACTCGAGCAGTAAGTTTGGAGGCGGACTACAAAGATTCGTCCAGATGCCCTCGAAGATCAGGCCTTCGATGAGTCCCGAGTCATTTTGATATTAAAATTAATTCCAAAAGAGAAATTTTAGTGTCAATGCAGTATTTAATACCTCTAGGAGGTGACGGTACGACAACTATCGAAAGAGACTTCTTGTTAACATTTAATGTCATCATTTGTAATCTTGTTTGATTTCCGTCTGAAGTGTTTTCAATAGATGGTATAAATTTTTCTGCTATTTTTTGTCTATGCAACTCCCACAAGATCAGGAGTGCTTACCAAAGACTGTGAGACACTGTGAAAGTGGAACTTTGTAAGCAAATTGACCCGGTCAAGGAGTTGTCAACCCAGCCAAGGACCGGTCAACACAGCCAAAAACCTAGCATGAATGGAGTGATAGCTAAAAAACCTACCATGAAGAGTGATTGCATAGCCAAAAAAAAAAAAAATTCATGTGAAGAGTGATTGCATAGCAAAAAAAAAAAAATTGGGTCAGTTGCTAAATAAATCTTGACCTTTCAACTTTTTTGACAATTTAATCTCAACTTTTGGGTAATTACAATAAAATCTCGACCTTGACTTATTTTTGCAAAACGAGCCTCGTTTTTGTCAGAGATTTGAAAAATGTCGGCGTGTCAGGCTGTTTACATCTACATGGAAATTTCAGTTTGCTGAGTGGAAAAACATAAAATATGTGGAATTGAGAAAAAAGCAAGCTCGTCTCATCAGTATAAATCCTTTCACCCCATATTCCCAAATTGCACTCCTCAAACCCCTATATTCCCAAATTTAAAGATCTACTACTCAATTGAATAGCGTTTTAGCAATTTTATGTTTAAATTGAAAGAATGATGTTAAAATTAATTAAATTTACAATTCCTAGCATGGCATTTCTTGTGCCAAAAAATCACGCCGACTTGGGGCCGATTTTTCATTGCTTTTAACTAAGTCGGTTTTTTTGTATGATAAAAAGTTATTTTCATGTTGTCCATCGACTGTTCTAATGGTGATTGGTTGTTGTGATATTTACTATCTTATATATTTTCTTGGTTGTCGGGATTTTTTTTTTTTCAAAGTTGGTTAGTTATGTATTTTAGCCTTTGTCAATTGCCAAGGTCAATCGGGCTGCTAAAAAGAGGTATCAAACATGTTGATCAATGGTTTTGATTTGAGTGTCGATAATCAAGTGATTAAGTCGTTAAGGTTTGATAATTAAAAATAAACTTGCACAGGAATAAGCAGGAGTTAGGTCGGATTTTTTTGGATATGAGCTCGGATGCTCATATTAATTACAGTAATTGAGGAGAGAATTTATGTTCTTTACAGAGAGAATTTTTTCTGTCTCTTTCCAAATGGATTTCTAGGACTGTTTATAGCATGATATGCCCGAACACTGTTCATCGGGTTACACCATACATTAAATGTGGAATGTCAAGCATATAATGTGGATAGGCTCCCTGCAAGTGGCATTATTATAATATTTTCTTCTACTTGGTGTGCTTTTAAACTCCGACCTCTATAATGCCTTGAGGTCGAACTATCGGCAGCATATACCCTCGTCTTCAGACCGACCCTCATCTTTGAGAAACGAACTTGGGAGTTGAGTGGACATTCGACCTGAGATACTCCTTTTCGCACTTAAACCGATTTCCTTACTTGGTGGGCTTTTAAATTCAGACCTCTGTAATGCCTTGAGTTCGAACTATCGGCAACATATACCCTCATCTTCAGACCGACCCTCATCTTTGAGAAACCAACATGGGTGGTGAGTGGAGATCCGACCTGAGATACTCCTTTTCACACTTAAACTGATTTCCTCCATTAAACTGTAGTTTACAAACTCCGAAGCCACGCTTTCCAACTGGGAAACAGAACACATGACCCTGTCGTGGTTGAATTTTTATTCAAAATATTTTCGGCCAATCATCGACGAATTAGGCCAAGCTGAGTCAGGAAATAATATATATACTGTATCCGTTAGTTAATTAAGTTGAAAAATATGATTCAAATTCGATCTTGTAATTAATATAAAAACTACTTAACATAAAATATCATAAATTCAATTCTTTTTCTACTACATATACAAGCTTAAAACATTGTTGGTTATATTATTCTGCATTGAAGCATAAGACCATCTCCAACCCCGCGCTACATTACATATTTTACGTCAGAGTGAATTAAAAATCCTTTCAGTGGTGCGCTGAACTATCACACATAGAGTGAAATAAAAATCCTTAGAGATATACAGTGCTACACCAGTTTCTCCGCCAATATAGAGAGATATACAATGTTGCACCAGTTCTGTGATAAAGATCGTGTATCGGGACTCGATGTTGCGTAAGAATCCGCGCTTACGGCATTGGTTCAAACACAATAAAATGTGTAAACCCGCACTAACGGCCTTGGTCGATACATTAATAAATGAAAAAACATGCGCTATCGACCTCAGTTTTTCACGAAGAAAGTACTCGGAGCCTTTTTCTTAAACTTTATTTCATAAAACTTGATTATCCAAACATGCATACAAAGGTCCTATTTATAATACACAAACAACATTCAAATTTAAATATTCAAAATTACAACTAACTAACTAGCATATTTAAAATTTAAAAAGAAACTAACATAATTTATCTAGATTAGTCCTATCTAAATTATCTTAATTAATTCTATTCAAAGTGAATGAAAATCCACTTCACCCTCCATCATCCACGCGATCCGATTTCCAATCGAAAGTCCAGTTCGCATCATTCTGTCCCAACACTGTTTCTGCGCCACATTAATTTTCTTTTTCTTTTTAATATATATTTATGTCTTTTAATGTAATATTTAATATAATATTTATGTATTAACTATTATTTTTGTTTGGCATGGTTTGATGTTTTTTTATGATATATTTATGACAATAATATAAAATTATTAGAGTTTTTTTTATTTAGATTATTGGTAAATTTTTATATAATGTGTATTAATAAATACTGTGTTATTTAATTTTAAACTAGGATATATATATGTATTAATTTATAGGATTCAAATTATTAATATTAGCTTAATATATACTATTTTTATATATTTTAGACATATGAATTTAAATATTCCAGACATGAATTTAAAATTTATATAAGATTAACAAAAATTTATATGATATTAAATACACACATATATTAGAATTTATTTGAAATAAAAATAAATAAAAGGTAATATATTTAATATAGAGTAAAATATAAAACGAAACAATGGAGATGAAATTATATATTTGGCTTACTTTAAAGTTTAAACTAGAGATGAAATTAAATATTTGACTTAAATTTTTTATAGTTAACTCTATAGTATGGCTGGAGATGGTGTAAATATGACTATATGAGTCAATATTTAGCTTATCAAAATTCTTAAATAAGAGGCAGCATCTATATTTACCTTATCAAAATCCACTCAATCGATAGCCAGCGATGGAGCTCCGCCTCCTCAACCCGGCAAACCACCGCGCAATCGCCTGCTCCACCACTAAACCTTACTCCAAGAAAGTCTCGCAGCCCGACGACAGCAAGCGTCAACAACAGGACCTTCAGATTCGTAAAATTTCGAAGAAAGACCTCTCAAGAATCTTGAGAACAGAGTCTGCCATTAAAGCCATTGAGGGGAAGGTTAATTCCTCCAAGTACAATAATCTATGGCCTAAAGCTGTTCTGGAAGCTCTGAGTGACGCAATTAAGCAAAACCGTTGGGAGTCCGCTCTTAAGGTCTCTCCCTCTCTTTCTGTGCGTGTGTGTGAAATATGTGGGGCCTTTTTCTGGATGTTCTTTCAGCATTGTAATTGTGAGAGTGATTTGATTATGATGTGTTATTATTACTGTTGTTTTTTTTTTTCTTTTTTTTTTTCCTAATTTTTTTTGGCACTGTATTGAGTTATAGTTTTTAGAGACAGGGCAGAGCTCTCAAACCTAAGCTGCTGTTTTAATTTTTTTCCATTTTTGGTGAAAAATTTAGATATTCGAGCTTCTACGAAGGCAGCAGTGGTATGAGCCGAGACGCCAGACATATGCGAAGCTCTTGGTAATGCTGGGCAAGTGCAAGCAGCCAAATCAAGCTAGCCTGCTTTTTGAAACAATGCTCTCGGACGGCCTAAAGCCTGCAGTCGATGTTTACACCTCACTTGTGGGTGCTTATGCTGTAAACGGGCTTTTCGATAAAGCCTTCAGTGTTGTCAATGATATGAAGTCCGTACGTGATTGCACACCGGATGCTTTCACTTACTCCATCCTCGTCAAATGCTGTGCCAAGCTGAAAAGGTTCGATATGATCGGGCGAGTTCTTGAAGAAATGTCGAATTCAGGACTTGAATGTTGTACAGTGATGTACAACACCCTAATAGATGGGTACGGTAAAGCTAACCGTTTTGAGGATATGGAGAAATTTTTGCATGAAATGATTCAGAAGGAAAATTGCGTCCCGGATATTTTTACCTATAACTCGGTTGTTGGGGCTTACGGTAGGTTTGGGAGGATTAATGAAATGGAGAAGTGGTTTGGTGAGTTTAATAAGATGGGATTAAAGCCTGATATAATGACGTACAACATTCTGATCAAGTCGTACGGGAATTCGGGCTTGTACGAAAAAATGGGAAGTGTTGTGGATTTTATGGAGAAGAGGTTTTTTTCGCCTACAACGGTCACTTACAATATTATAATCGAGGTATTTGGAAAAAGCGGAGATATTGAAAAGATGGAGGAGATTTTCTTGAATATGAAACATCGTGGTTTGAAGCCTAATTCGATCACGTACAGTTCTCTTGTGAGTGCATATGGTAAAGCCGGGATGTTTGGGAAAGTTGACTCGATTTTGAGGCAAGTGGAGAATTCGGATGTCGTGCTCGATACGCCTTTTTTCAACTGTGCTATTAATGCATTTGGGAAATTTGGTGATGTAGAGAGGATGATGGAGCTATTAGAGGCAATGGAGGGGTGTGGGTGCAAACCGGATGATATCACGTTTGCTACAATAATCCAAGCGTGTCGTGCAAAAGAGATGATTAATACTGCTAAAGATTTGGAGAGTAAAATGATTCATGTTTCGGGTACATTTTTTCTCTTCATATATATTCCTTTCTGGGAAGTGTTTTCAGTTTATATGTGTAAATACACATTTAATAATGGTTTGTGAGATTGAGCCAAGAACCTTGATCAAACAAAATACTCATACATGTCTTAACAATTTTTCAGGGAGGAAGTGGATTGGCTGAGTTTACAAAATCCATTAGTAAGGATGTCTTATCGTCAAAAGCGAGGGAGAAGCTCTTGTTAAACTCTTGCATCTCTCGTCAGGTGAGTATATCGCATCTTTGTTTTGTTCGAAATAATAGGCCAATTGCATGCTTTTGATGTTGAGAGAATTTATATGTTCATCGAAATAATAGGTTTGATATGCATATGCACAATATGCATTTGAAAAGATATTTTTTGACCCAAAAGCTCCATGATCAGGCAGTATTTTGTAATTTAGAAATAAATGTAATTGTTTCTGGTATATGTTTTGTTTATAGTTTCAGATTTTGTAAATTTCTGAGTTCATCATGGTAACCAAGTTATCAAGAAAAGTGCTTAATAAATTGGATAAGTTTTAAAGCCAATATAGTTTTATCAGGTGCTGTAGCAAGTGATTGCTGTGAAGAATCGAGTTATTGCTATGAAGACTCGAGTTCTTGATTGGGTCCACTCATCTCTTTAACCTGTGAAACTGGAGAAGATAGTGTGGGATAGAATGCCAAAAATACAAGCCAAATAACCAGTAAGAATTGTAACTCAATTCGTTTTAGTTATTTCTGTATTGTTGGCATGCTTGTGCTGCGATGTTCCCATTGTTTTATCTCATGTAAATAAAATCAAGCGTTAAAAGATTTAGCTACAACTTTGTCGGTATGCCTTTCGCCAATTCACTCTGATAGCACACCATGTTTTCTTCACAGCATGCTTTCGTATTAAAATTTGTTTACCGTAACCGATCTTTCAATTAGATGAAGCTGCTGGAAGACAGCTTTTGTCAGTTTGCACTTGATTGACCACATGTTATTGCATTAGTGAAAGAAATGAATTAGTTTGATCTACGTTATTGAAATATGAGCTCAAATCGAAGATCGTCAAAAGATGTTTGATATAAAATATGAAAGAATGGACAACAAATAAAAAGTTCATAAAGTTGGAAATTCATTTATAATGAAGTTACATGTATGTTGTGATTTTAAAAGTCCTAAACGTATACAAATTTACATGTATGGATAAACTACAAATTTGTGTAGACTATATCGAAGTACCAGAGACATATATAGGGTCTTGTAAGGACATCCACAATCTTTCCATTAATTTAATAAAAATTAATGCTCTCTCTCATCTACATCATCTTTCCACTAAATATCTCTCCATTTAAACACACACTCACATTTTTATCCATTCATTTAAATACATATATAAGACCCATTCTCCACTCATTCACTATAAATTTTAATATACTATTCTAAAAACAAAAATGATTAGCTATTGTTGATACTTTTAGACAAATTGTTGATGGGTGTTGCTAAATACCGCACCCCTTTTTGCTAAATACCGCACCCACAAAAGACAATTTTGTCCTTTTCAATTTTT